ACATTCACACTGCTGTTATCATGAGTGGTCATATCTAGCATTTATAGTCTTGCTTATGCTGGGATTAAAGTATAATATAAATTGAGGAAGGAAAAGTAACTAAAATACAAAGGTAATGTTTTCATCAATGTAATTGAGTAACTACATAGTTCAACGGTATCACTTGCAGAATTTATTCATTAGCAGAACGTTATTGTGCAAACCATGGTATAGATTACTGCTTTAAATTATATGAATTAGGATTTTAAACTAAAAGCAAATGTTATTAACTGGGTTTAAAAGCTTTGACAGTCGCAGGAAAAAAACTTTAAATCTTCTAAAACAACCACCAGTTGAACAATTGAAACCGTATTTGCATGGAGTATAACTGGGCTAAGATATAGTACAACACAATTCCAAATGCTTTTCTGAAGGTCTGATTCCTGGCTAAATGGCATATGAAGACATTCTTAACTGAACATCCTTGGCTAATTTTTAATAACCTTATTCAGAACTAGTGTGTATAAAATATGCAGAAGCAGCATGTGTCAAAAGAAATGACTCCACTAACATGTAAATTCCATTTTGAATATCTGGCTTGTTGAATATTCCTTTGTTAAGGAATTTAGAAATCCTGCGGGATCATCACATCCAGCTTTGAGGATTGTACATTATCAGAATCTCACAGCTTTAATTCAAAAATATTTTGGCACTCTGATGATACTCTTCCCCATTGAACAAAAGTCTTTGTACAAAGGCTTTTATTTTACATTATTACTCATGCAGCTCACTCAAGCACAAGATGCTCAATGATGGACCTAGTTAGGGGTAATCAATAGGATGCAGAAAGGTTGTCAGCTGAGGGATGGTGTTCTGAGTCATGACGCGTACTTCACATTCTCATAGCCTATTGTGGGAAGCTGCCATTATTGTCTGTCATAATAAAGAGATGCAACGTCACACAGCTCAATTCCCTAATAGACCAGACAAAAGAGCAAATGCCTTAATGCATGTTTTCTGAAGCATTTCAACAATTCAGGCTAGAGTAAAAGCAGTAGTACGCTCAGATTTTCTCAATGGGTCAGTTGGCACGAAAATAAGCCACACCAGAAGAAGTCAGCTTAGATTTGGTTCTTGTTCTGAGTTAAAAGGTTGTGGGTTTGACTCACACTCCAGAGATTTGTGCATAATTAGAGATCAGCATATAAATTCCCTTAATAAAAGAAAAATACTGCAGATGCTGGAAATCTGAAATAAAAATACAAAGAATGCTGGAGAAACACAGCAGATCTGGCAGAGAGAAACAATGTAATATTTCAAGTCCAGTGTGACTCTTCAGAAGTGACATTACTTTAGGTATTTCTGAAGAAGGGTCCAAACCCAAAACGTCAACTTTCCTGCTCCTCTGATGCTGCCTGGCCTGCTGTGTTCCTCCAGCTCCATACTGTGTTGTCTATTACTTTAGGTAAAGTTGCCATAGTCTTACCAGACCATAAGGCTGTTCTCTCATTAGAGAGAGAGATGACTGGTGATGGCTTAACCTGAGGGTCACCATTGCCCCAGGCAAGGGGAGAGATTAAGGAGGAGAGCCTTTCATTGTTATCTCAGCCGGTGCAGAAATTGAACCCACATTGTTGGTATCACTCACCAGTAAGCCCCTGCCCCAGTCAACTGCTCTAACCCCTTTTAGTAATAGATGTCAGCACATCAGTAATCAACAATAAAAACTGAGATTATAAATTCACTTGCTTTTCTTCAAAATACTGCCACGGGATCTTTTGTATCCACACAAGGAATGAAACTGCAGGTTTCAGTCTAACACCTCAGCTGAAAGATTGTATTCTGACAGTCCTGCAGTAAAGTGTCAGTCTAGATTTTTGTACTCATGAGCTTTGAAAGGATAATAAATCAGAAAATTCTTGATGTAATGCAGCATACTGCTTTTAAAAAAAGTCAGTGTTATTTTACCTTGAAGAACCAATGCAATGCAGCAAAGGAAAACATTTTCTTGTAATTTTATAGATCGACTTCGTGCACAGGCTGACAATGGCAAAATATTATCTGTTCTGGGCATTCAGCATGAAGCAATTACAGGTCAATGTAAAATGGTCTTTGGTTCAGAATGAAGCCTGCCAAGCAATTACAAAACCACCACCCTCTCGGACTGCAATGGCAATTTTATTTTTTCGATTTCATGTACCACACATAATGCTGGCCTGTGCTTCCATATCACCTACTTGCCGGGAAATCTGCACAGTTCTTACAACTACGTTGCAGCAGAAAAATCTCCCATTTAACTCCAGCTTTGAGCAGTGTTCCTACATCCTTTGGGATTGTCGTAGTTTGCAAAGATATTGAAAACGGCTACAAGTAAGGGAATCTAGTCCACCTCAGAAAATGCCACAGTATGCAGTTGGCAAGCTATCGCCATGTTGGGGAGTTGATGGTGCAGTGGTATTGTTACTGGCCTAATAATCCAGAGAGAGTGACTAATGCTCTGAGGAACATGGGTTTGAATCCCAATAGGATAGCTAGCGAAATGTGAATCAATTAAAAAAAATCTTAAATTAAAAACTGGGTGAATGACAACTATTGTCAATTGTTGTAGAAACCAACCTGGTTCACAAATGCCCTTTAGGTGAAGAAAATATGAGGCCAGAACCAGAGGAATGCAGTTGATTCTTAACTGCCAACTTAAATGGCCCTGTCCTGTCAGTTCAAGTGGGAATGAGAGATGGGCAATAATTATTGGCACAGCCGGCAAAGTCCACATTCCAAGAATGAATTTAGAACAAACTAGGTCACTTTGCATGAAGCCAGACAGGTACATTGTGCACATCCTCGCTAGGAGCTGAACCAGATTTTGACAAATGGTAATTATTGACACATTCCAGAAATAATTTCAAGATGGCTGCCGAGTGGCAGGGCTGCATTCAGGATTCTGAGCTCGGGTTTCGACTGCTCCCCTCAGCTTCTTTTTTTTTCTTTTTTCCTTTCACTTTCACTATTTCTCTTTTTACTTGTTTTCTTTTCTTTAAAGCGTTTTTGTGTCGGCACGGTAACAACAGCAAGCCATTTGTGGAATGGAGGCCAGCAGCAGGACGTTTGCAACTCCATCTATTGATTAAGGGCAGCGTTTGTAGCGACGGCAAAGCTCCTTTTGAAGACTAGAGGCAGCAAAAGACAATAGGCCTCAACTAGGCCCGGGGTGCCAGCATCGGAGGCTGACCATTCCATTCACCTTTATTGAGATAGGACTTTAAGATCCAGCCATTTTTATTTCTTTTAGCTCTGGATCTTCTTTTTTTCCCTTTTGGCTCAGTTTCTTTTATTTCTACTTTTTTTAAAAATTCTGGTTTTTGTACAAGATGGTGCCAGAGGATGGTGACTCCATACACTTTTCACTATACCCCTGTACTTGAGTACACATGACAATAAAATCTCATTCAAATAACAGTTCTTTGTCAATGAGTTACATCTATCTGATTCTGTTACTCAGTGAAATATCAGAACGTAATTGTTTCAGTAATCCCAACAAGTCCATAACCATGACTTTCAGGAAATATTGGAAACTGGGAATATTTGGGAATCAGACAGGCGGGGAAGTCACAACTAGTTCAGCATTGTCTCAGTGGGCATCATAGGCTACTCAAAGAGGTGATCCCAACTGTCTGTGGTTGTGTGATATGGATAATAGCAAGTCATGTTTTACATCTGTACTAATTGAACTCAATGGAAATAGTCACTGGGAGTAATGCAAGGTGAGTTTCTAATTCACTAATGTCTATCCAATTATTGCAAAAGGTCAAGATCTACTGCAAGAGCATTTAAAGCCTCCATGAGTTTTTCATATTTAAATATATTACTGAAAAAAGATCCCTTCGCTATCATCTGTAAGAAACAATCTATAGACCCAAGTGCACATAGATTTCTTTGTCAAATTCGCACACGGGATGTGGGTGTTGCTGGCTGGGCTAGCATTTATTGCCAATTCTTAATTGTCCTTGAAAAGATGGTGGTGAGCTGCCTTCTAGAACTTCTGCAGTCTGTATGGTGTTGGTAAGAAGGGAGTACCAGGATTTTGATCCCGCAACAGTGAGGGAGCTCCAAGTCAGGATGATGTACGACTTGGAGGGGAACTTGAAATTGGTGCTCCCATGTGCATCTAGATGGTAGAGCTCTTGAGTTTCGAAGATGCTGTTGGCGAAGCCTTGGTGAGTTTCTGCAGTATATCTTGTAGATCATACAAACCATTGCTGCTGTGTATCGATGGTGAAGTGAGTGAATGTTGAATAAGATGAAGGTGGTGGATGGGGTGCCAATCAAGCAGACCACTTTATCCTGGATGGTGTCAAACTTCATGAGTGCTGTTGGATCTACAGGCAAGTGGACTGTATTCCCTTACCTGCCTGACTTGTGCCTTGTAGATAATGGACAGGCTTTGGAAAGTCAGGAAGTGAGTTACTCAGTGTAGGATTCCTTGCCTATAAATGACACTTTTAACATCGTCTCCAAAGGTTCATTCAAGCCCAGCCTTTCATTGTATTAGCCACAGTGCACATTCTTGTGCTGCCTCCTGAATCTTAGCTTTCTCAACTTTCTGTAAAAAAAAAACCTTTTCAAACAGAACGACAGTACATGCAGTGGCATAGATCTCCATTCATGAAAATATAGCTTTCACAATCCAGATCGCCTGTGTCACATCAGTATGAACAAACAAGTGTGGGTACTGTCTGAGCTATAACAATACCATGAGCTGACATTACAAACTAGAATCATTCAGCAACATGTTCCATTGCTTTACATATTAGCTGGGAAGACGCAAGACTTAGTAAGACAATCTGAACGGATGAATGTTTCACAATAATAAGGGTCTTATTAGATTAAATAAATAAATCAGGACAGTGGAATTCCTTCATTCCGAATTTAAAAAATTATTAAATTGAAGTTAACTTTGCAATACGTTTTACACTGTCTAGAATGGGGCACAATGGGTTACTTAATGGGGAGAAAGGACTTACCTCAAATACAATAAGTGCATAGACTCCAGCCAAAATGACGGATGCGATGGCAACTTGAGTCTCAACATTTGCATAGAGATAATGGTGATGAATGGAGAGTGGAACCATTTCACTGTTCTTGAGGAAGGCTTGTATACTCAAACTGATTTCATTGCTACAAAAGATGTGCAGTTGCTGGTTAATCACAGTTGTGACATTCCATATAACAAGTCATTGAGTCAGAGAGTTACACAGCTTCAAAGCCCTTCAGTCCAACTCGTCCGCTCCAACCAGATATCCTGAACTGATCTAGTTCCATTTGCCAGCATTTGGCCCATATCCTTCTAAACCCTTCCTAGTCATATACCCACCCAGGTGCCAATTAAATGTTGTAATTGTACTTGCCTCTACCACTTCTTCTGGCAGCTCATTCCACAGATGCGCCATCCTCTGCATGAAAATGTTGTCCCTCAGGTCCCTTTTAAATCTTTCCCCTCTCATCTTAAACCTATGCCCACTACCCTGGGAAAAAAAGACTTTGGCTATTCATCCTATCCATGCCCCTCATGATTTTACAAACCTCTATAAAGGTCACCCCTCAGCCTCCAATGCTCCAGGGAAAATAGCCCTAGTCTATTCAGCCTCCTCCCTGTAGCTCAAACTCTCCAACCCTGGCAACGTCCTTGTAAATCTTCTCTGAATCCTTTCAAGTTTAATAACATCTTTCCTTTAGCAGGTAGGACAAAATTGAAAAGTGATCTCACCAATGTCCTGTACAGCCACAACATGACATTCTAAATATTATATCATTGCACTGACCAATGATGGCAAGCGTGCCAAACACCTTCTTCACCACCCTGCCTACCTGCAACTCCCATGCGGCCCATGCGACTGCCAATGCAGTCAATATAGTTAATGACAACAACGTGAATTTATATAGCGCTTTAAGTCCAGTAACACACCCATAAGTCCCTTCCCAGGAATGGGTTTCAAGCAATGTTTGACACCGAGTCAAATAAGGTTGTATTCGAAACAGAAACAGAAAATGCTGGAGATACTCAGCCAGTCTGACAGCATCTGTGGAGTGAGAGACAGAATTGATATTTCAGATCTTGACTTACCATCGGAAGTGATTTTACGACAGGCGAAGAAAATCTCGCCCAAACAGGTAGGTCTTGCAAAGGAAGAGGCGAGGTGGGGTGTGGTTTTGAGAGTGAATTCCAGAGCAATAAAGTCCAGGTACATGAAGACCCAGCCACTAGAAGTGGACTGATTAACATCAGTGCTACACACAAGGCCAGAACTGGAGGAGCAGTAATAGTTTGGAGGGTCAAAAGATGAGACCTGCTGGAAGTGGTTTTGAATGAGTTCAATTTTACCGAAGATGGAAGACAGGGGGCCAACCAGGAGAGTGGTGGAATAGCAAAGTCTCAAATAAATATGACATGGCTGAGGCAATTAAGGAATCCAGCCCCAGATTCCCACACAGAAGAGAACACTAGTGGCAAACACCCCACAGCCCCATTAGAGCTAATTTGATGGACTTTGGGACAGTGCTACACCGAGGGTAAAGGAAGGAGGAAATCCTGGCAATACCCAGGAACCTTAAAATCAACATCATGGCGTAGATACTGCAGAATGATAATGAGAGCAGAACGGTCAGCCTTTGCAATCATTACTGGAATGGACAACCACCTTAGTCAGGAAATGCCTCTTTGATACCATCTGCCTCCTGCCCCCCACCTTTCTGATCCTCTTGCCCACACCACCAGTCCTATCCCTCCCTGTTCAGTCTTCTCCCTCCCCCCCTTCCCACCCTCTCTGATATCCACTCCCCTCCCCTTTCAACATTCCCCCAGCAGCCACGGGAGGTCATTCCTGCTGCCGACCCTCATGTCAATGTTGCACTGTTCTGTGCATTTTGCACATAGCGCAACAACATAGAGGGTCTGGAACCTTGTGCATGTATAGTTCGAGTGAGCATGCAGCACAACAGTTTCAGTCTCATCAAGCACTCTTGCAGAAAATAAAATAATGAAGAAATAAATAGTTGCTCTCATTGATTCTACACTCCACTAGAGGGTGCACTATTGAATAACCCATTCATGCAAACCTCAAACTAAGAGTGGAATCCTAAGGTCACCAGTGATTTGATGGAAATTTGTCTAATACACAATGAGTCTTGCTGTAAAAACTCACCTGGTCCCACTAATACTGTACAATTTATCCATATTACCATGTGTATTTGAGCCCAAACACTTTGAAAACATTAACCAAAACTCGTAAATAAGACTTCATAAAACAAACTACAGCTTCAAACTCAATCAATAAGTCAGTAACTAATCAAATCAACAGAATGGCACAGTAACTGTGTCAGAGGGGGACTCAAAACTGAGTGTTTAAAATATATTACTCCTATAGAGTCATAGAGCTGTACAGCATGGAAACAGAACCTTGGGTCCAACTCATCCATGCCAACCAGATATTCTAAGCTGATCTAGTCCCATTTGCCAGCATTTGGTCCATATCCCTCCAAACCCTTCCTATTCATGTACCCATCCAGATGCCTTTTAAATGTTGTAATTTTAGCAGCCTCCACCATTTCCTCTGGCAGCTCATTCCATACATGCACCACCCTCTGTGTGAAACCACTGCCCCTCAGGTCCCTTTTAAATCTTTGCCCTCTCACCTTAAACCTATGACGTCCTGTTTTGGATTGCCCTACCCTGGAAAAAAGACCTTGGTTATTCACTCTATCCATGCCCCTCATGATCTTATCAACCTCTGTGAGGTCACCTCTCAGCCTCCAACAGTCCAAGGGAAAAAGCCCCAGTCTATTCAGCCTCTCACTACAGCTCAAACCCTCCAATCCTGGAAACATCCTTGTAAATCTTGTATATACCACACCTTGTAAATCAGTACAGTCTCAGATTGGCATTTACCTGCTGGCCATCTCAAAAGTCTTTGTCTTGAGGAGTTGATTCCGTTGTGGATTTAATGGAATCGTCCAATTGTGCACCAACTGCAAGAATTATGAAGCAGAGGATCGACATGAATCAAAGTCTTGAATTTCTGTATGTGAAAATATTCTTTGAACATCATTCCACCATCAGGCATTGTCTGCACTTACCTCTTCCCAAATATTATCTTTGGAGTTATCCTGAGTTCGAAACTAGATGGCATAGGTTTAAGGTGAAAGGGGAAAGATTTAAAGGGATTTGAGGGGTAACCTTTACACGCAGAGGGTAGTGCATATATGGAATGAGCTGCCAGAGGAATTGGTGGAGGCTGGTACAATTACAAAATTTAAAAGGCATCTGGATGAATAGGAAGGGTACAGAGGGATATGGGCTAAATGCCAACAAATGGGACTAGATCAGTTTAGGATATCTGGTCGGCATAGACGAGTTGGATGAAGGGTCTGTTTCCGTGCCGTACATCTCTATGACTCTAAACATAAAGGAGATCTGATGGTAAATTAGTACCTGAAAACAGCAGTTGAGGTGCAATTGAATAGCAATTGCAATTAAATTTGAATCATAATTTTATTTTTAGGTCAAGAGAAAAAGATATGAATGATGTATAGTTTGTCCTACAAGAATTAAATTGCACAGGTTTTGACCCTGGTCACTCCCTCCTCCAATGGTCATTGCTGATCATCTATTTAATCCTTTGCAGCTAGGGGAAGGTGCTGAGTAAGTTCTGCAAGGTACCTCTCTCTCCCTCGTGAAGGATTCTCCTTCTCAACCTTTCCCTTTTCCTCATGTGTGGTGACCCTCAGGTTAAACCACCACCCGCTGTTTCTCCCTAATGAGAGAGCAGCCCAATGGTCTGTTAAGAGAATGGTGACTTTACCTTTTCTTAATTTATCTATTCTTTCATGCCCAGAATCAACAAGAATCTTACCAGAGGGTGAGGGATAGGGATCCTGCCCACCTTTTTAAACACACAATCAGGGAAAAGGGAGCAGAACTATGTGATAAACATCATTGTTGATAGATTGCAATTGTATCATCTATAATTTCTTTTATAGAGTCATAGAGTTATACAGCAAAGAAACAGATCCCTCGCTCCAACTCGTCCATGCTGACCATCTTTCCCAAACTAGACTAGTCCCACTTGCCCATATTTGGCCCATATCCATCTAAACCTTTCCTATTCATGTACCTGTCCAAATGTCCTTTATATGTTGTAACTGTACCTGCATCTGCCACTTCCTCTTGCAGTTGATTCCACACACAAACCATCCTCTGGCTGAAAAAGTTGTCCCTCAGGTCCCCTCTTAAATCTTTCTCCTTGAACCTTAAAATTATGCCCTCTAGTTTTGAATTCCCCTACCCTAGGGAAAAGACCTTTGCTATTTATCTCATCTATACCCTTCATGATTTTACAAACCTTGATAGGTTACCCCTCAACCTCCTACACTCCAGGGAAAGAAGTCCCAGCCTATCCAGGCTCTCCTTATAGCTCAAACCCTCTAATCCCAGCAGCATCCTTATAAATCTTTTATGAACCTTTTCCAATTTAATAATAACCTTCCTATAGCTTGGCAACCAGAACTGTACATAGTATTTCAAAAGTGGCCTCAGCAGTGTCCTGTACAGTCATAACATGACATCCCAACTCCTCTGACCAATGAAGGCAAATGTGCCAGATGCCTTCTTCACCACCCTGTCTACCTGTGACACCGCTTTCATGAAATTATGTACCTGAACCTCTATGTCATTCCGTTCAACAGCACTCCTCAGTGTCCTACCATTAACTATGGAAGTCCTGCCCTGGTTTGTTTTACCAACATGCAAAACCTTACATCTTTCTAAATTAAACTTCATTTGCAATTCCTTAGCCCACTGACCCAGCTGATCAAGATCTCTTTGTAATCTTAGATAATCTTCTTCACTGTCCACTGTACCATCAATTTTGGTGTCATCCGCAAACTTACCAACCATGTCTCTTGTATTCTCGTCCAAATCTTTTATAAACATGACAAACAACAGTGGACCCAGCACTGATCCCTGTGCAACACCGCTGGTCACAGACTTCCAGTCCAAATAATAAACCTATACCATCACCCTCTGTTTCCTACCGTCAACCCAATTTTGTATCCAATTGGAAAGCTCTTCCATAATCCAATATGGTCTGAGATTACCAACCAGTCTACCATGCAAACTTTCTAAAAGGCCTTGCTAAACTCCAATTAGACAACATCTACTGCTCAGTTCTCATCTATCTTCTTGGTCACGCCCTCAAAAAACTCAATCTAGTTTGAGAGACACGATTTCCCACGCACAAACCCATACTGACTATCCCTAATTAGTCCTTGCCTTTCCAAATGCTGTCCCTCAGAATCACCTCCAACAACTTGAAATGCACTTCGGTTATGTTGTGAACTACACAATAACAAATACAATCTTGTTGGTCAATGTTCCCAACACAGACACCAGTAGGACCAGCTGGCCTGAAGTCGCCTTGCAAGTCACATGATCACGATTGTCTAGCGGCAAATAAAGTTAGTGTCTTGAGATACTGGCACCTGCTGACGCTTCCTCCTCCTTCTGCCACCATCTTCGGCCTGTTCAACTTGAATGCTGATGTATTCGTCTCTATTGCTGTGAATTTGGCCTTCTGCAAATGGTCCTGCAATTTCCAGTTTGAGAAGAGCATTGCCTTCAAAGTTTGAGAGGTTTAAAACTGAAAATGATTTCAATCAAGGACTGTAACAGCATCGCTGGAAAAGTGGAAGACACCAGCACCAATAAAAAAATTCATAATGAACATTGGTTGAATACAAAATGGGATGAGAATTGTTCTGGGCAGTAAGTATAGTAACGTCATAATGCATTAATGATAATCTTGTTTTACTCAGTGTGTCTAGTGACATTATAAGCAGGAGTCCTTTATCACACTTTCCCAGTGAAAAGCTTAAAACGTTCATATTTTTCTTAAACTTTGGATGCATATACCCAAAAAGTGCATATTTATTTTGTATTCCCATCAAGTTTTACTTCTAAGACAAAGAAAATAATATTGGGATGAATAACCTGTATAGATAAATAGAAACATATGAACATAAATAGGATCCTCAGACATATTCCACCATTCAATGTGTTCACTACTGATCTGAAACATATTTCTCTATACTGCCTTTGTCCCTTGTTTTAGGAAAATAAAATTTCTATGGTGTCCTTATGTAGGCAGTGAAAAGTATATTACTGTGGAGAGTTCTGGTCTTATTACAAAATTGATGTGCAACAGTGGAGACGTGTTTTATGCCAAATAATGATTTTAATTCAACATCTGGAAACATGAATTCAAATTATAAAAATAGATTTTTCAAATAGAGAACACAGACTAACAGCAAAGATGTCTACCCGGTTTGCATTATTATACATTCAACAGTCCAATCCCATTGAGACGGAACATAAACAGAAGTTGCTGGAAAAGCTCAGCAGGTCTGGCAACATCTGCGAAGAAAAATCAGACTTAATGTTTCGGGTCCAGTGACCCTTCCTCAGAGCTCAGAGTTCTGAGGAAGGGTCACTAGACTCAAAATGTTAAGTCTGATTTTTCTTCACTGATGTCACCAGACCTGCTGAGCTTTTCCAGCAACTTCTGCTTTTGTTCCCAAATTAGAGCATCCACAGTTCTTTCAGAGCGTACCCAGGGCCTGATTTTATCAAGTTACAATTGGAATACATGATAATATTTGAAATACTAATCATTTGAAGAGAGTGGTCATATCACAAATCAACCCTTGGCATATTTTAAGCACACATTTTCTCCACACAATTGAAGGCAAGCAGCTGAGAAACTGAAAGAGATATTTCCTCTCCCCCATTCTCTTTCTTTACCCAACCTGTGTTTTGGGTTCCATCTGCTCTGTTCAACAAATCCATAACTACTGCAAAATTCTGTCAATTGTTAGGAAAGAATTACCAGTTTCGCCTCCTATCCCAGGAAATTTGAACAGGTGCTGGTCAGGAAAGGTTGCAGCCATTTTCATTTCAGAAGTGTTTTCACGGTGATTCTTTTTTTCTTTCAGACTGGCGGCTCATAGCTGTGCTTCCTTTTTTCGACTCTGGATCACTCACCTCTTCTGACATCATGTCTTGATTGTACAACACAGCAGTGTGCTGAACATGAGGACTTTAGTGATGTAAAGCTTACAATGTCTGCCTATGGGGTATGTGCCTCATGGTAGAGTTGACATGGCTACAGAAGACTAGAACAGACATTTGTACATGACTGCATTTCAAACCAAACAATATCCAAAGTTTGCTTATGGAAGTATGAAGAGAGGCAAGAGTCTGAGGGGCAAAAACAGAAAATGCTAGAAAAGCTCAGCAGGTCTGGCAACATCTGTGGAGAGAAATCAAAGTTAACATTTCGGGTCCAGTGATCCTTCCTCAGAAATCAAACATCCGAGGAAGGGTCACTGGACCTGAAACCTTAACTCTGATTTCTCTCTGTTGATGCTACCAGATCTGCTAAGCTTTTCCAGCAATTTCTGTTTTTGTTTCTGATTTACAGCATCTTCAGTGCTTTTGGTTTTTATTTAAGGGTCTGAGAGGGTTATGCATATCAGAATTATGCCTATCACACTTTCTCAAGCTGCTGAGGAATTCAGGCCAGCTAAAAGTTAGATTGAGCGTCATTGTGAACACTAAGGAGGAATTAAAACCTGAAGAATAAAAGTAATCCCTTGCCTCTATAACCAATTACATTATAAAAGATGAAGTTATCATATTGAAACAGCAATAAAAGTGGAGCATTGCTTACCCCTCCTTGGTCTTCCATCTCCCCTGGTCTGAATTGCTGGGTATTTCCCCATAATTCGCTGGGTGGCACTACGGATTCTTCAAAGTTGTCTGTCCCAACTCCACAGATCATGAGAGTGTCTACATTCTAGGCTTCATACACATCCTACTTCTATACATCCCACTTCACTGCACTTCTACTGGCTGGGGCAGGGACCCAGAATCTCAGAGCTACAACCTTTACAGGTACTCAAGATGCAGCAACTGGAATAATGGAATTGTTTGGTTATTACAGGGATGAGCTTCAGTGGGTCAAATATCTTTTTCTCCTATTGACTTTCATTGTACTTTTATACAAGGTCATTACTAGCACTAGTACACAACAGGCAACTTCCATTAGTTAGGATACGTTACAATCTGCATAGTCGCACAGCATTATTTCTCAGAGCTCTGATCGCAATATATGGAGACTGGAATCAGTTTTCTGCTCCTGAGATAAGTTAAAACCAAACTCCAGAAGCATTGGTTAACTGATAAAGCAATATTCATGATATAATTGCTGCTCAAGTCAGCAGTGGTAAGACAGGAATAGTTTCAGGAACTATTTTACAATTGATCGGACAAATTTAGCTCTTTGGATGAAAAATTATTTGTTCATAGTGGATAAAACATTCAGTTGAAATTCCCTCTTCACTGTTTTAATGAAGTCATTAACCTACTTTGGTTAAAACTGCGAGCAGTAAAGGTCCACTTGAATTCATTAGCCAAGTGGTTAAAAATAGCACACAGATGAATGTGTATCCTTAATGAAGTGAATCATTACTCCATTATTTTATTACTGGCTAACACTCTGCAAACCATTAACCATTCAATGCGTACGGCATGATGATTTACAATTGAAAGAAAAAGAAAGGCTTTTATAATGCAGTTAATTATATGTGTACAGTGCAGGAAGTTATATCTTTTTGAAACAATACAATAGATTCGGTGCACCATTCTCTGTAATTGTCCACAATTGCTGCTGTTTTCAGTAGACATTGTTTAGTAAAGTGCTCAAACAGTCAAGTTGCTTCACTGCTGAAGTCTGTTTTTAAACAGGTAAATGTCTAAATAGTCAGCACTAGTTAATTTCAATATGGTCCTACTCTGCCTTGCAGCAACGACCAGCATTGAGAATCTGAAGGCAAAGGATAGCAACATAATAGGGCTTTATTTCAAATTTATTTATACCTAAGGAGAACATAAAATATGATGCTTGTCTGTGGAGAACAAAGTTCATGCCCAAACGATGATCTTGACCTTGAAGGTGAAAATTGTTGACAAATAAATCAACAGAGCAAACTATAAGGGCTTTGAAAAATATAATTTGTCATTTTTTTGGGGGGAGAGTCAGAAGATCACTCAGAACTATCCTGCATTATTGGAGTTTCTCACCATCCTGCCGAGATGGATTAGCAAAGGACTTTCTTCAGACAGCATATGGCAATGAGAGAAAGCTGCAAATGACAAATGGTGTGCATTGGCATAACAAATGATTGACTTTATTACAATTATTTCAATGTGGGCCATTGAAATCTCACGTACTGAACTGCAGAAGCTACGAAACATCATAAATTAATGCATTCCTTCATATCACTATGATCTACGTTTTAAAACCATTCCCAAAGATTTTGATTTAATGTACAAAATCTAGTGCCAGTTTCTAATTTAGGAGTAAAGGACTGCTTTTGTCAAGAAATACATCATTACATTACATTACAGCATCAAGATGAATGGATAATTTTTCCTGCCCCCTACCCACTAATTCATTAATCTGCTCAATCTTTATCCATTTTCACAGGGCTTACTCTCCCATTTCCCTTGCCAGTAATTTATATCAGTGAATGTTTGCAGGTACATGTAATTTTTATCTGGGGCCTTTTTTTTACTGCAATCTTCCAGAGAGAAAACCATGACTCCATCACATTCCGTAAACATCATTCTGGCTGGCTGCTAAATTGTTGTCTAATTTACTGGAATAACAAGCGGAGTGCGAAAAGTAATCTTTTATGTTCACGGTAAAAACTCACTAAATTTACAGCAATCAGCGATCTCTTTTGGTCACTCGGATTGGAATTTATCCCAGTTTCACATTTATATAAAGCAGAAAAATGGAAGCAGTAAAGTATCTGTGGGCCATAAAATAATTTGCCAACAGTGGGAACTAACTACACTTTATTAATGGGTGATAAAACTAAAAGAACTGTGGATGCTGTAAATCAGAAACAAGAACAGATGTTGCTAAAAAGAAGTTCAGCAGATCTGGCAGCATCTGTGCAGCAAAACTAGAGTTAACATTTCAGGTCCAGTGACCCTTCCTCAGAACAGTTCCAAGGAAAGATCACTGGACCTGAAACATTAACTCTGATTTCTCTTTACAGATGCTGCTGGACCTGCTGTGCTTTTCCAGCAACTTCTGTTTTTGTTTATTAATAGGTGTCCTTGGAGAAATGCATATAATAAAAATGCACATTATTCATCCAATAGCCACTTGGCAATTTTGCTTCCATTTCCGTAATTTAAACAGAATGGATAGCACACTGTGTGATACCCAAATAATACAAAGCACCAAACTAGCTTGTGAAAAATAGTCAGCCGTTTGAGAAACAATGAAGCAAAGATAAATTTAAGAGATCATCAAACAAATAGAACCAGGCAGTTTATGTTTTTACATCTTCAGATATTTTCATCATGATAAGCAGCTTGCTTTTCAGCTACAAAGCTGTTCTCAAATATATCACTGGAAGTTGAGTCTATAATGGTATAATAACAGCGCCTTCCAACATCGTAACAATTCAGAGCACCCATGAGAACGAATATTAACAGCTATAAGCACTGATGTCCGTGCCCAAATACAAAGTGCAATCACATTTTGTGACTTATTTATTCTTCCCA